GAGAGAGGGGGGGGGGGGGGCGGTGTGTGTGTGTGTGTGCGTGCGTGTATGCGTGTGTGCGTGCGTGCGTGCGTGTGCGTGTTTATATGTCCAAATATGGAAAGTAAAAGGTGAAGAATTATTTAGAGAATTAAGTAGAATTACAAGGAGAAGGGCTGACGGAATTAAAAGACAGAAGAGGAATGTAGCGTAACAGAGGAGGGCTTGTCGCTCTGCTATGTTATGCTATGCTAAGGTATATGCTGAGGAGTGGGTCTCTTCGCAGCTAGTGAATTTATAGTGAAGGTAGTGAAGGTAGTGAAAGTAGTGCAGGTAGTGAGGGGAGTAGAGGGCAAAGAGAAGGGGGAGTGAATTCTTGGTCACGTGACTTATGATATTGTTAACTTTTACTTTCAGATACACCCATCTTCCATTCCCCGAAGAATATTACCCGATGGTAATGTTCGCCAAGCTCGACCTGGTGAAGAAAGATGCGGAGCAGACAGAGGTAGAGAGATTAAAGGATGACGAAGAGTCGAGGGCAACGAGGTCGTCAAGAGCGGCAAAAGCGTCGCGAGTGCCGGCGACGTCAAGTTCCGAAGCGAGTCCGAACGCTGATGAAATAAAGCAGGAAATCGAGGACGAGGATTTGCCGCTGGCCTTCCAATGTAAAACTTGCGGTGTCTTTTTCAACTCGCAGGGTCTCTTGGAGAATCACGAGATCGAGCACAAGGGTAAGCGGAAGAATACGTGCAATCAGTGCGGCCGTGTCTTTAGGACGTACGTTAATCTGCGAAAGCACATAAAGAAGCACGCAGGACGAAAGCGCAAGACCGTCGGGCGGCCTCTGAAGGTCAAAAAGGAAAAGTCCGAAGTAGAGTTTCTCTGCAAAACTTGCAACAAGATTTTTCGGCATAAGAGCAACTACCAAAAGCATCTGCTGCGGCACACCGTCGGCGACCTTACGTGCAAGCACTGTCCGAAGAAATTTCGATTATTTCGGGACCTGACGCGTCACGAGAAGACTCACTTCTATCCGAGCTACATGTGCAAGGAGTGCGACTACGAGACGACGGTCCTCGCTGCCCTGAGCATTCACATGCTGCGACACACGAACAAGGCGGACCTTCCGTTCAAGTGCAACGAATGCGAGAAGCGATTTCGAAAGGCGATCGACCTCCAGGAACACTACAACATCCATTCCGGCGAGAAGCCTTTCGTCTGTCAGCTTTGCGGCAACGCGTTCTACCTGCGACGGCAGCTGTCGGCTCATTGTCGTCGGATGCATCCCGAGATGAAGGCGAACAAGGTAACGAGCACAGCCTGCGACATCTGCGGCCGCGTCCTGGCGACGAAGCGCTCCCTCTTCCGGCACAAAGAAAGTCACAACCCAACGAAACTTTACCTCTGCGACTACTGCGGTAAGAGTCTCAGCAGCGCCGAGCACCTCAAGAAACATCGGCGCATCCACACCGGCGAGAAGCCCTACGTCTGCGACATCTGCGGCAAGGGCTTCACGGATTCCGAAAACTTGCGAATGCACAGAAGGGTTCACACTGGCGAGAAGCCCTACAAGTGCGACCAATGTCCCAAGGCCTTCTCGCAGAGGTCCACTCTGACGATTCACAGGCGCGGTCACACCGGCGAGCGACCTTACGTCTGTCAGATCTGCCATCGTGGCTTCTCCTGCCAGGGCAACCTGACCGCCCATCAGAAGTCCACTTGTGTCTGACTCCTCTTCTGTCTTTCCTTCTCCTTCGTCGTCTCCATCTTCCTCTCACTCTGCGCTCTCGTTTCCTTCCTTTTTTCCCTTCCTCGTCCCATCATCGACTCCTTTAATCTCCGAGATTCTTCGCGTCTTATCCTTCTTATTCTTCTTATCCTTCCTGTCGCTCATTTCAAACTGATTACGACACGTTGTTTTTATGAGTTACATTGATTACCGATTGTCTTACGATTAGTTAACGAGAACCCTTAATTATTAACAATTATAGTGCATTCACACATGGCTATTATGTATTGGCGAAACTTTTGAAATAATAAATAGATTTTATATATTTCATGACTTGTAGTATCGTAATAATCGGGATTTATCTGACCGCTTTGCCTTGTCAAAATCTGTTAGCCCATCCCTCGATGATCTAACTATTCTCTTAATTAATTAACCCTTATTAAAACCCATAGCTAGTACTTCCTCGCTCTTTGATATGTATCCCGTGTTGTACGTAGCGCCCTAGGGATCGTCTACGAGGATCACTACGTTCATCATTAGCACTTGACTTCTCTTATGTCTAAGAACGATATCTTCGCAGGGTTGCGATAAAGACATCACCTCAATTTATGTCTATATTGTTATTCTTGTAGGAGCGTTAAGGAAGATATTGCGAGGTTGCAAGGACACGAACAACGTGCCAGAAGAAGCGTCCTGCGCGGCACCGAGGGCCACTCTGTTCGCGACGCGTTTACGGACTCCATGAAAACTCACTCTTGTCCTTGCAGAGACCGGCATCCTGATCCAAGCGCGTCCTCGCACTTGTCGTCAGCGAGCAAGGAGTCTCTTGTTCTCGAGGACGACGCTACGAGTGGAAGCCACGCAGTCACCAAATCCATTGACGCAACCAGCATCAGCAGTAACTGCCTCACTGCTACAAGTACTGTCAGTAACTCTCTCACCATCCTCACAATTGCCCATACTGGCCAATGTCAAGAAAACTTAGCTTTCCGGGGACTTGTGAAACGGGAGGAGGATCTCGATGCGGATGAAGATCGGAGTGAAGCTGATGATGACGATCGGTTGGAGGGGGAGAGGGTTAAAACGAGAAAAGTGGGGAAAGAGGAGGAGGAGGAGGTGGAGGAGGAGGAGGAGGAGGAGGACGACGACGACGACGACGACGACGACGACGACGACGACGACGACGACGACGACGACGACGACGACGACGACGACGACGACGACGACGACGACGACGACGACGACGACGACGACGACGACGACGACGACGACGACGACGACGACGACGACGACGACGACGACGACGACGACGACGACGACGACGACGACGACGACGACGACGACGACGACGACGACGACGACGACGACGACGACGACGACGACGACGACGACGACGACGACGACGACGACGACGACGACGACGACGACGACGACGACGACGACGACGACGACGACGACGACGACGACGACGACGACGACGACGACGACGACGACGACGACGACGACGACGACGACGACGACGACGACGACGACGACGACGACGACGACGACGACGACGACGACGACGACGACGACGACGACGACGACGACGACGACGACGACGACGACGACGACGACGACGACGACGACGACGACGACGACGACGACGACGACGACGACGACGACGACGACGACGACGACGACGACGACGACGACGACGACGACGACGACGACGACGACGACGACGACGACGACGACGACGACGACGACGACGACGACGACGACGACGACGATGATGATGAGGATGACGACAATAGTGATGATGACGGTGAGGAGGAGCAGGAACAGCCGGAGAAAGAGGAGGAGGAGGAGGAGGAACATGCCGATGAATTCGAAAATTTAGAGTCATCGCAGAGACAAAAAAGGAGGAAATATCGAAAAAAAGAATCAGTCAAGTACGAGTGTGAGATATGCAAGATAGAGTTCAGCCGGCACGGTGATTACAGGCGACACATGGTGAAGCATAGTGATCTTAGGCCATACAAGTGTTCCGTATGTGGAAAAGCATTCAAGCGCTCCTCGGAGGTGACCAGTCACATGCAGATTCATCAGGGGATCAAGTACACTTGTGAAATATGTAACTTCACCACAACGAACAAAGTCTCTTTGCGCACCCACAATCGTCGGGTTCACCAGAAGGACTTTCGTTATCATTGCGAGCAGTGCACCAAAGGATTCATGTCAAATTATGATCTCGAAGACCACAAAGCCAGTCACCTTGGCACCAAAACCTTCATCTGCGAGTACTGTGGTAACGCTTACTCCCAGAAGTCTTACTTGGTCGCCCATAAGAGAGTCATTCACGGGATACAGAAGAGTGCCCCCAAGGAATATCAGTGCCAGACCTGCAACAAGAGCTTTGCCTCCGAGTACAATTTGAAAAATCACATTGGCCTGCACTCTCAAAAATTTCTTTGCGCTCATTGCGGCAAGGAGTTCGCAACGAATCACGCTCTGAAGCTTCACAATCGCAAGCATACGGGCGAGCGACCCTATCAGTGCAAGTCTTGCTCAAAGGCTTTCGCTAGATCCGCCGCTCTTCGTGTTCATAAGCTCACTCACACCGGAGAGCGACCCTACGTTTGTGACCTTTGCGGTCAGAGCTTCACGCAGCGCAGCAGCATGATGGCTCATCGAAGAAAGCATCCTGGTATTCATCCACCGCCGCCGCCCTTGCTTCTCAGCAGACTGGAGAACAGTGTCAAGTCTGAATGACGTCGGGGAATACGAACGTTTTATTAACCGACGAATCACACATTCTCCAAGCTTCTCCCTACTTCGTATCTTTTTCAATTTTGATACGAGTCGACATGTGAATTGCAAACTACGAGCTAGGATCTATCGATTCATCCGCTCCTTTATTGTCGGGACGGAATGGTAACCAGGTGCAGCTTTTGGCTCATGTTCGCCATTCTCAAAGTGAAATCGAACAATCTCGTGTGCGTCGTACTTATGGTGTAGCAGTATATACCGCGCAGAGTCTGTAAATACCTTTGTCAATTTTTAATAAAGCAGCGTAATACAAGGAAAAGTCCTTAAATGGCATAACGCGTTCTTCGTCTTTGCTTTCTTCAATTTCGAATCCGACATTCTATCAAATGCGCACGAAGAAATTTTATAGAATGCGTGTGCTTTCCCCAACGCCGACGTCTCAATAACGTAAACCAAGCGAGATGGCTGGAACATGACTCGTCATTCAAGTTTTTCGATGAAGAGTTCGAAAATGAAGCTTCGACTCGTTTGTGTAAGTGAATCCTACTAATCTTAACCAATGGTGTTTCAGGACCAGCTAGCCATTCGTCTTCGAATGGACGTCTTCGGACGTCAAGGTAGAGATCTCGAGATCGTTTCAATCCTGGAAGTGGAGTATCATATTTCTTTGCAGTTCCACACATTTCTTTTCTCAAGAATGTCGAATAAAGAAATCTCTCCCGTTTCGATCATGTGAACTTTCTCTTTTGCAAAATCCCTATTAACTCTTCTTTGCACAATCAACTCCGTGCCTTTTAAAGCATGGGAATTTGACTAAACTTGGAAATTTTCCAGGACTCTTGCGAAACGAGCCGCTGAAAGAGTGGCGCGTCCAGTTCCAGTGTCCTTTCCAGCCTCGAGCCCTCGTCCTCGAGGACAACTGCGACCAAGTCAACGAAGACTCGTTAGAAAGAAGCGAGACATCGCAAATGTTAGCCACTCTGCCGGTCCTGATGCTCGAAGAAAAGAATATGCATTTCGCATTTGGCATTCCGGAATTTCCATCGAAATCGGAAGAGTCCAAGAACTTCGAAGAAAGGACGTCTTCGAGCGCTTCGAGACGTCCGTCGCGCACTTGAGTAATTTTAGAAAATTCGAAATATCCGAGGACTCGGGTGGCAAGAGCAACGATGACTCTCAAGTTCGAATCACTGAAACGCATTCGCCCAATTTGCGGGAAGAAAGTTCTCAATTACAGAAAATTTAAAAAGCACGTCCGTGCTCGTTCGACGAGCGATCTTACAGCCTGCTCAGCTAAAGGCGCACAAGTGGACCTGCCTGGAAGGCAGCAGGCAGTTTCGCCTGAAATGTGACTTCATCGGGCACATAATAAATTCCCACGCGAACGTCTTGTGTGACTGCGGAATATACGGGCAGTCCGTTCGCGACCTCAAGTATCACGAGTGGAAGCATCAGAGGGATGGGAGCGCCTACAAGCTTTCCTGCGTATTTGCAACCAAAAGTTCAAGTTTCAGAAAAAACTGAGGAATCACATGACGATGAACGAGATTAACTCGACTTCAGCGTGCCGAGTGCGGAAAGAAGTTCGTGAAATCGAAGCTCCTCGCGGCGCACAAGGCCAAACAGGAAGGAACCCTCTAACCGGCTGTTTCATTTATTTGTAGTAGCAGACTCTTTAGTAGCGGACGAGCCTAACGCTGAACGAGCATGTGACCAATGCTGGACCATGCGGAGGCGACGCTCGCACAGGTGCGACTTGTGTGGCCAAGGATTCACTCAGAGATCCAGCATGATGAGACATTGGTGGAAACATTCGGGCGAACATCCACCACCTCCCAAGATATTGATAGCGGCTATCACGAGAAACCTTATTCAGGCATTCAGGCTCATACTCACAGTCAAAAAGAATAATTTGGGCAGCGTCGATCACCGAAATCAGTGCTACCTGCCCCACGGATGCCTACTACTCTTGGCAAATAAAGACTCGACCGGATGCCTTGTATGTGACAATAATGACTTGCGATTAACAATCAAATAAAACGTTGTCATCTTCAATTGAGGAAGGATGATCATCTTGTGACACATCCATATCGCTAAATTCACTAGAGCTATTTTTTGGCCACTGTGAGAATGTAAGAATGCGCATATGATTGGCTCAAATGATAGTCGTCGCTAAAAAGGCATCTCGAGGAAGGTGCAAAACTCGCTATATTCTCCTGCACTTCGGGTGAAAGATATAAGATGAAAAACCAGAATGATGGTGCGTTAAATTATTATATTTTATTGGCTCCATATAATGAGTAATAAGAGATAATTGCTTTCTCCGATCCAGCCAACTTTTTTCTCTTCAACTGGATGACGTTCTGCCGACCTTGTGATCTTGATCTTTTCGCTTTCTCTAATTGATTCTTTGATGTTCCAGGAGCGACTTGTCTCCGTTCATGGAATACGAAAACTTGCTTTGGTCAACTCGTGTGCAAGAATTAGAGAATTGTGATGGTAAGTCCTCGAAGTCTCGAGTCACATCGTACACAAGTTTACTGGCTCAGGCGACCACATCGCTACGAGCTTCTCGAATTGAGCTTCGAGGGCGAACATAGTCTCAAGAATTGATTTTCACAGCAGGAGTGCTCCTCCACGGCTCTGTATCGAGTTTGCCAAGAGGAAGAAGTACTCTGATTCTAGGTCCGTCAAAAATATCTAAAGCGGCAGTTACTTTCGCTTAATCTACTAGAAAACGGTCGGGAGCAGCGACATTAAAAGCGTGCCTATCGTGTCATCCTGATCAGCGCTTGTTCGAGCACGACCTCTTCGAGAGATCTTCGCTCAGCGTTCGAGTAGGACAGGACACACGCGAAATCACGAGGCACACGTGCAGCCATTATACTCGAACCCGATCATCAATCCCACCAAGGACATTCGACAACATATTATGTCTCCGACACTGAATAGAAAATCCTTCTTTTTCCACCCATCCCCTGATAGAACTTTTTCTCTTCAAGTCCAGAACTTATCCAAGTCCCCACTAGGTCTCTAGCGAGCTAGAACCAGCGAGAATCTTTACAGGCCCTCGAATTTTTAAATGTAATTTCTACCTGGAAGATCTATGCGTTAGCGAACTTCAATTCGATTTTCTCAACAACAGCCAGCACAAGTAAACTCTTCGCTTCTTTCGTTCGGCCTTACAAAATTAGGTTGAAGATTTATGTATTTGTCACATATTCACCGAATTCCAAATTCCAAATTTCAAAACAATATAACTTAGGTTGATACGAAAGGAACAAAAAGGTTACGCTATTCATATCATCAGGAACTTTCGCAGTTATGAACAATAGATGCTAATCTGAACATAAGATAATATGACGATAACACAGTAAACGGGTAAGAGGAGTAGGTGCTAGTACCGATATTGAAAGACGCACGGGCTAAAGCGCTGTATGCTCTTTTACGTTGTTTTATACTCTCAAGTCAAAACTAACCGAGTTCTCTTCTCTTTCAGGAACCGCAATGATCCCTTGCGAGTTCAACCATATGTTACGGTGCGATCGGACGAGAAATCGATTTGGGTTCCAGCGCCTAAAGTCGAGATAGAAAGTGACGCTGAGGTAGTCATTGCCGATTCGACGCCTGATTCGAATTTAACTGCGATACCCCTGAGGACGGTTGCCGCTGACAGAGCGCCAAGACTTTCGAGAACGGTGCTAACGAGTAAGTCCAAGGAGAGACGAAAAGAGAAATCGCCCGGTAGACTCGAGGGGAAGCTGCCGAGAGAGCCAAGGTTGTTGGTCGAGCCGAAGTGCGAAACGTGCAGCAAGTCCTTCGCGAGTAAACGTAAACTAACCGTCCATACGAAGTACGTGCATTCGTCGCTGCGACCTTTCGCTTGCAAGATATGCGGGCATGCGTTCAAGATGAAGAATGCCTTGAAGAAGCACGTGCAGGTCATCCACGAGGGTCTCTACGAGTTGCTGCCGTGCAAGGTGTGTGGCTACAAGGCCAAGGACAAGTCGCGGTTGGAAGATCACTACGTGCGCCGGCATACGGACATATACGCAACCTCCTGTTACATCTGCGGAATGCAGCTACGATTTAAGCGAGATCTCACCACTCACATCAATCAGATTCACAGCGGACCGATCGTGTGCGAGCGCTGCGGCGACGTGCTGCCAAGTTATCGCTCGCTCTGCAACCACAAGAAGACGCATCACGCGGTCGGTGCGAAGCGGAACCGGAACTTCAAGTGTGGCATTTGCTCGAAGGGCTTTGCTTCCCAGGAATCTGCTGATGCTCATAAACTTAAGCAACACAACGACGGCGGCAGTTGCTATTGCGATCATTGTGGAAAGCCTTTCACCGGCAAGTACGCCCTTACCCATCACATCCAGAACGTGCACAGGGAGGACAGGCCATACTCTTGCCCCGTTTGCGTCAAAACATTCAAGATGCACAGCCTGCTGCAGCTGCATCTCTTCACGCATACGGATGTGAAGCCCTACAGATGCGACATATGCGGATCTGCCTACACCCAGCGCGGTAGCATGATGCTTCACAGACGTAAGCATCCTGGCGATCTTCCTCCCGTGCCTCCCATTAAGCTTGATCTTCTACTCAAGAGCATCCAGCCGAAGATCAATCAACTGGCCAAGGGAACTGCCTTCAAGAGCGACGCCGATACAAAGTCTAGCAATCAAGACTGATCAGCGGCGTCTATTGCTTCCGTCATATCCATGGAAAGTCAGGGGGGCCGGGGGGGCCGGGGGGGTGGCGGCGGCATTACGAGAAGAGAGAAGAGATGAGGGGGGAGAGAGCGAATGGGGAAGGGGTTCGGTGGAAGAGGCAGGAGGAAGGCTGTGGGGCGGGGATACTCGCATTTTCACATTTTCACATCAAGTCGATAGGCAGAGTATAGAGTCGCGATTGTAATATAAATATGGCGCTTGTAATTAAACTGTTATACCTAATATACTCTATTGATTAAGTTTAATGAAATTATAGTAATAAAACCATAGAAAGTCGCGAGTGACTTGTGCCTAGCGCGGCAGTAATGTCGATCACACGGTAAGCTCCGTCCGTCGAGAATATTTCGAAGAAAAAAAAACGGTGGACTTTAGAATTTTATTGATCTCGTGTGTCAGTGTTTCTGTTTTCAGGAGTCAACAAATGCCGGACGGGGCAACGTTCTCGTCAGCGGAAGTAACAGGGAAGGACCCGCTCTTTAGATCTACTATAGATCGCCGCGTCGGGTCCTACGTCCTTTGCGAATTAAAGCTTGCGATTAATTGAACGCCGATACACGGATTAAATGATTAAAACGATCAGACGAACAGAGGATCTACCATTCTTTCGACGACCCTCATCCTTTGAATAGCAGCCAGATCGAGAGGGCCCCATATGCGAGAGAGCGAGTGTGTAGATTGGGAGAGCGAGAGAGAGAGAGAGAGAGAGGATGGATGATTGAGTGGCGAGTTGCGCGTACTTCCTAAGAGTTGATCTGTCGATGATCGATCGAGCCGCGATGCATGTCTTGCGCATAGCGAGAAAGATCGAGCGCCAATCGCGTCCCACAGTTAACTGACGATTTTATGATTTTTTAGGTACAATCCGCTAGACCCACTCGGTCCGTCTTTTCTGACAGTAAAGCTAGGAGACGACTATTTTCGGATCCCGAAGTCGTTGAGCGTGTTCATGATGAAAGAGCCGAGGCCGGGCGTCGAAGAGAAAGGTCGGCTTCGAGTGAAGGACGAGGACACTGCGGAGGGAGTCGGCGGGGAGGTTGAAGATATCGAGGAGCCTGAGAGTGAGAAGGAGGAGGACGACCTGGACGACGCGCCTCTCGACTTCCGGAAGAGACGAGGCGGAGACAGGCCGAGGGCGAAGCGACTCAAGACGAAAAAGTCCCACTCCTGCGAGATCTGCTACACTAGCTTCGACCGCAAAAGCAAACTTACGAGCCACATGTTCAAGCACAGCAACTCGAGACCGCACAAGTGCGCCATTTGCGCGAAGGGCTTCAAAACGAGTGCCTACCTAGCGCGGCACATGGAAATTCATGACGAGCCCGCGCAGCTTCACGCCTGCGCCCTCTGTGACTTCAAGGCGCGCACCAAGCCATACTTGAAGATCCACTACATCCGGAAGCACACCGAGGACTACAATTATAGCTGCGAGCAGTGCGGCAAGATGTTCAAGGTCCAGTCTGACTTCACGACGCACATGAAGGACCATGACACGGAGTCCTGTGTCTGCGACATCTGTGGCACTTCGTATCCCAGCAAGAGCTCTCTCTACTTTCACAAGCATTACAAGCACAAAACAAAGATCAAGGAGTTCGAATGCACGACCTGCCGTAAGCGCTTCAAGAGCCAGAAGAACCTCGATAACCATGCCGAGCTTCACAAGATGAAGTATGTCTGCGAGCAGTGCGGCATGGAGTTCAAGTTTAAGTACGGCCTGACGAAACACCTCAGAACTCACTCGGGCGAAAAGTCCTATCTCTGTGCCATCTGCGGGAAGACATTCGGCTGCCTTAGCTCCCAGAAGATTCACCTCTTGACCCACGTGGGCGAGCGACCCTACGTCTGCGACATCTGCGGCCAGAGTTTCACTCAACGCTCGCCCATGATGCTGCACCGCAGAAAGCATCCTGGTATTCATCCACCGCCGCCGCCGATCAAAATCACGAACCTTCTTCACGGTGTTCAAGATAAAATCATCGTGAATAAGAGTTCGAAGTAGTCGCTGGCTGAAGCACGGAAGTTCACCGTGCCTTCAGATCGAGATCAGATTCGCTTGTACCTTATTGTACAATTGGCACTGGGCGCCCAATGCTTCCGGGCGACATTCGATTATGCTGCTTCACTTCTGGCGACGGTTCTTCCCGGAAAATGTGCGTCTCTTGGACTCTTGGAGACTCCTTTGTATCTTTCTAACGCCACGGACGGATATAGCCTGCTACAGATACTTGGAATTTCACGTGAACATTGACGGCAACAATAACGATCGCAGAGACACGCACGACGCAGCCGCCTAAGGTGTTTACGAGCCACGTGACTTTCGTTCTTCCTTTTGCCGGCCATTCCTCACGAAGTCGCGCCGTCGCCTTGCGGTGAAACGAACGAGACACTCGTCGAGTGTCGCGGGCAGCCTCTCTGACGTCAGGAGAAGAAAGTTGAAAATTGAAAATTGAAAATTGAAAATTGAAAATTGAAAATTAGGCATCTACAGCGGACGAAGGCCTTACGTTTGCCTTCGTACAGAGAAAATTGCTACAAAAAAAAAACGAAAGATGTATAATGTTGCGCCATTGTAGTACACAAAATAAAAAAAGAATATGTTTTTGGTACACTATTGCATACCATTGTCCAACAGTGTACAGTGTTTCTTCACCTCGAGAGGTACTTGCTTCAGCGTTTCGTTGTGTTTCCAAAAATTTGGTGTCACGTTATCGTTTCTTTATTAATGATTAATTTAAAAAATCTTCTAGATAAGAATGTATCCACACAAGTCGGGGTGCATTCTTCTTCAATACAGGTACTAGAGGCATCTCTTCTATCTATAAGATTAGAGGGTTCTTCGTAATGTTTGCTCGACTGATTTACGTATAATTTTTAGGTCGAGCCCACTTGATCCGCTGGATCTTTCGTTTCTGAGAGTGAAGCTGGATCAAGACGATTATCACGTATCGACGTCTCTCAGCGTTTTCATCGCGAGGGAGAGCAATGGATCTGGAATTGTGGGCAGGACGTGGTGGATCCGAAGGCAGAGCCGGAGGAGCAACAGAAGAACGAAGATGAGGTTGTCGAAGATCCCGTTGAATCGGTCGCGAAAAAGGTGAGAGTCCGCGGGAAGACATCGGCGGCTCTAGTCAGAGATGAAAAGAGCAGAGTAATCAAATGAAGGGTCTACTGGGAAGGTGATCCCGAGGCTAGAAAGAGACATCCAACCTGCGACGTATGTGACAGGACGTTTAAAGAGAAGAACAAATTGAGTCGTCACATGCGGAAGCACAGCAATTCTCGCACCTGCAAGTGTGCGATTTGCTTCCAGGTGTTTAAGTACAGGGAGTCCCTGACTCGCCACATGAAGACACACAAGGGTCCCGCGCAGCTTCATGGCTGCTCCCTTTGTAACTTTAAAGCAAACGCAAAGTACTACCTCAAGATTCACCACATCCGTAAGCACACTGAGGCTTACAAGTTCAGCTGCGAGCAGTGCGGCAAGTGCGAAAAACGCTCTTACGAAGCATCTCAGGACACACTCGAGGGAGAAATTGTACCTCTGTACCAAGTACGGCAAGACCTTCGGTTCACTTAATTCTCAAAAGATGCACCTGCTGCTGACGCTCATGGGGGAACGTCCTTACGTTTGCGACATTTGTGGACAGAGTTTCACTCAGAGATCCCCGATGATGGTTCACAGGAAAAAGCATCCTGGCGTTCATCCTCCGCCACCACCTATCAAGATTGCCAACCTGCTTCTCGGCGCTCAAGACAAAGTGCATCTCAGCAAGAACAAGGCAAATTGATTTTGCGTCAGACTATTGATCAACAACGTGTTCAGCGGCCAGAAGATATTTTTACTTGAGGAAAGGGTGGAAAGGGTGGCCGTGTGGGCTTTGTGACTCCGCCGGGTCGCCGGGTCGCCGGGTTACTTGTCAGTAAGAGTAATGCAATTAAGAATTTACTACGGCGAACATACTCAATGACATTTCAATGGAGCTTATCTGTTCTTCCATCGCACCACCGAATAGCAACGGGGCGACCTTCCTCGCCCAATAGGCGCGCGACGTATGTCTTCCTGTGTCAGCTAATTTAGGCTAGACGATTTGTCCCCTTCTTCCTTGCCTTCTTCCCTCTATATAGTTAAGTGGTAAGTATCAAAGTATCCGTGATAACGGCACTATTCCGTAGAATTTCAGTGAGTTCTTGCGACTACCATTATATATCTGGCAACTGAAATTGTATATTCCTTCGAACGATATTAATACAATTTTAGGAAAACCATGCCCTTGCAACGATTAATCTCCTAAGCCGCCAATGACCGTCTCCTCCGGACAGAATGTTTCCTAGATAAAAATCGTGATCCGAGACAGATTTACGGCGCCGAAGAATTCTTACTGGAGCATTGATATTCCGATTGTTTAGGCCGCAGGGCCAGGATGAAGAGGGAATCGTCTTAAGAAGGAGGAGCCTCTTCAAGAAGCTAATTGATCTATCGAATCGATATCCCCAAAGGACGCTCTCCCATTCGACGTTCGAGCTACCGCGAGTCACGGTGATTCGCGGAACGTATCCATATTGACGAAGTCTTCGTCGGTGTCACCGCTGACAAAGAACGAGAGGGACCATCGTGACACTCGCAAAGTGACTTTGAGAGAAGAAAGAATTTGGAGCACGCGCACGTCTTCAATTATGGCAGCGGCCTACACGCGCTTAAATCTAACGTGTGCGCAAAGAAGTTCAAAGCCAAGAACAACACGAGGAGAGACGCAGGATGCAAGCAAATCCATGGCGGCGACGCAATCGTCCACGCCTGTCAGTTCTGCGCCTTTATGGCCGTGTACACTCCTTCTGCTTGCAGGTGCGTATCGCTGCCGTTGCAACTCATTCTCAGTTCCTTCTATTTTAATGATTTTTCCGCGGGTTTAGGGTAATTGGATCTGCGGTCTTTCCGAGCTCCTGGGACAATTCTCATTTGCGATCGTATCGTTAATCGTCAAATGTTAAGAAAATACCAGGGCGATTAAGAATCGTCCCTCTGATCGAGTGCTTTTGCTTTTCAGGTGCATTGCACTCGAAAGCACACGGGAGATTTTCGGTAGGCTTGTCACAGGTGCGAGCGAGAGTTTCGGATAAAGGCCGACTATACGAAGCACATGTGACGTTTGCGGCTCCGCCCCACCTAATAGGCTGTCTCTCTACTGCCACAAGAACTACAAGCACGGAGTCAAGAATGGAGAATTTTAGCGTCCGATCTTCAAGAGAAGCCTCCAGTTACGACCGAATCTAGATAATCGTGAATCGTGTGCATCAGCACGGACAGTCTGCGGGGCCAGACGGTGAAACAAGCAGCTCAGCCGAGTTCGTGACTCGGGACAATAGCGAAAGGAAGGACAGCATGACAGATCTGTACCAATCATTATTGGCTAGGCGACGTTATCTTTCTTCGCCACGAGGAAGCGTGAGTGAGCGTGTTGTGGTGGATTGGTGGGGGCAGCGAGGGAAAGAGAGAGAGAGAGAGAGAGAGAGAGAGAGAGAGAGAGAGAGAGAGAGAGAGAGAGAGA